GTCTTAGACGCCGCTCAAAATCATTTTCTGATTGCCATAGTCGAATACCTATTGCGCATCATTCTCATCCAGCGAAGTTAAGAAGCCAGTTGCAACTACTCATCTGCAGGGCCCCAGCACCACTCTTTGTGATAATGGGAGGGCGCCCATGGGGTACCGGCAGCCTACGTTGTCTTGTTTTAGAGCCAACCCCTCAAAAATGGGACGTTAAACTTTTATGGCTACGGAAAACGAAACAAGAAATTGTGTTAATGCACGTAAAACAATGTTCTTTAGTTCATGGAATGTAAGATCGTGTTATCGTGAAGCAAAACGGCGTTTGATTATAAAGCAACTGAAGAGATATCTTATCCAAATTGCGGCCGGCATTAAGTGAAACAGCCCTATACGACTCCGGTGTGACCGAACTAGATGATTATACAATCATCCACTCAGGAAGTCAAAACAGCGTGAAAGCAGCACATGGAGTAGCGATCTGTTTAGATAAATCTGCTGCGCGGTTATGGAAAAGTTCCGGCTGGATTTGGGAAGCTGTTAGCTCAAGAATTGTAATGGTTATGCTGAAATGCAAACCTATTAATATCACAATAATAGCCGTTTATGCGCCGGTGAACCCGTCTAACGGTCTTAAAGCTGATGTCGATGCGTCAGATAATTTCTACAGAAGTCTGCAAGATGCAAGGGACAAAGTAAGGTGCACTTAAAGGAAAGTTACAGCAAAAATTTTATTTTTCGATGTCTTATATATCATTCAATAGAGAATTCCACGGCGAGCAGGAATATGTGCTCCTTGATTTTTTTAAAGGCTTCCTTCCGTTTGAAAAATCGAAAAAACTCGATGGATGTGAAAAACCCGACTTTTCGCCATTTTTGTATAAATTTGAGTTTCCCGAGTTTCATGCCAACTTAGACTGTTGAAACTGCCATATTCTTGTTCAGCTTTGAAAACTGAATCAGAAAATGGCCTGAAAGCCGTTTCAGATCTAAACGTCTGTGGACCAAGATCGTCGAAAGCAAAGCGACCAAAACCCCTCTACCTATTCTTACAAACTTTTCACAAGTTTTTCTTGAGATGTTAGAGCCAATATTTTCACATGGGTCGACGCGTTAGATGCTCCTCTTCAAGAGTATACGTGCAGTTTTTTGAAATGTTTTGTCTTCGACGAGAAAAGTCGATTTTACTAAGCCCTGTGCCCAAAACGCCAAATCCTTTTCCGGTTTTAGATATTTAGAAGATACAAAAGTGATCCATGGCTGCGATCTTTGACTTGAGAATTGCTCCTATGACTAAGGGTAACCATTTTCTCTGTGTACATTGATATTTTCATGTATATAAATATAATCACAAGCAAAATCAACGTCCAAATTACTATTACTGATACGAGTGTGAGTTTTAACTGTTACTTCACAGTAAGAACTAAAAATATCTTCATAACTTCACCTTACGACTGTCTTGCCGAAACTTACCGATGTTCCGTAAGAGAGCATCAAAATTTCTCAAAGTCATGTAAACCAACACGATGACATACTTCACCGGGCATTTGGATTTGCAGAGTTCGAACAAATCGGACATATCGTCATCTGTTATTCCGTCTTTGATT